ATCGAAGGCCCCAGTGGCAAGGCCCGCATGCGACCACCGCACCCAATTCCGCACCCCCTTCCCGCCTTTCGTGGACCCATAGTGAGCTCCACCGAAGGCCCTATTGGTGGGGTCGGCATGCCACCACCGCACCCAGTTCGGCGCACCACTCTTACGTTTCGTGACTCCATGTGAAGCTCAATCGAAGGCCCAAATGGCAGGGTCCGCATGCCACCTTCGGCACCGCCCTCATGCATTTCGTGGCCCTCATGGGAGCTCCACGGAAGGCCCAAGCGCCAGGGTCCGCATGCCACCACCGCACGCAATTCGGCGCACCCCTCACACAATTCGTGGCTCGTAGGGAGCTCCACCGAAGTTTCCAGTGGCAGGGCCCGCGTGCCACCACCACCCAATTCCGCACTCCCTTCCCGCCTTTCGTGGCCCCGTAGTGAGCTTCACCGAAGGCCCTATTGGTAGGGTCCGCATGCCACCACCGCAGCCATGTCGGCGCACCTCTCACACGTTTCGTGTCCCCAGAGGGAGCTCCACCGAAGGCGTCAGCGGCATGGCCCGCATGGCGGCAAGCACGGCGCCCATTCAGGCACTTTCTTCTTCGCGCGTCTGGTCCCTGAGGGAGCTGAACGCGGCACGCACAATGCGGTACTCGCACCTGCAAATGCTTGGGTCCTTCGCCAGGATCGTTTTCCCAACATCCTGTTCTGAGTTGGGTCCTCATTTGAATCAGCGGCGCCGGGCGGCTTCCCTCCTTCCCTGCTCCGCGCCCTCTCCAGAGGTTGCGCCCTCATGCCGTCACCATCCAACTTTGGCACACCCCTCACCCGCTTCGTGGCCCCCACGGGGAGCTCCACCTAAAGCCCCAGTGGTTGCGCCCGCATGCCGCCACCACCCCACTCTGGCGCACCCCTCACACGTTTCGTGGCCCAGTAGGGAGCTCCACCTGAGGCTCCAGTGGTTGCGCCCGTAGGCCGCCGCCGCCCCACAATTTGGCACACCCGTCACACGTTTTCGTGGCCCCGTAGGGTTGCGCTCGCATGCCGCCACCACCCCACTTTGGCACACCCGTCGCACGCTCCGTGGCCCAATAGGGAGCTCCACGTAAGGCCCCAGGTGTTGCACGCGCATGCCGCCACCGCACGACGTTGGAGAACCCACAACCCCTCACACGCTTCGTGGCCCCATAGGGGAGCTCCACCGAAGGCCCCAGTGGCTACAGTCTCATGCAGCAACCACCCCACCGTGGCGCATGTCACACGCCTCGTGGCCCCACAGGAGAGCTCCACCGAAGGCTCCTGTGGCAGGATCGTGCGCGTGACCCCCTGCGCGCCTGGCCCCACCGGGAGCTCCACCAACGCCCCGGTGGCTGCGCCCGCATGGTGCCACCTCACTGCGTCGGCACACCCCGCACACGTTTCGAGGCCCCACAGGGAGTTTCGCCTAAGGCCCCAGTGGCTGCGTTCGCACGCCTTCTCCAGACCATGTCGGCACGCCGCTCACGCGCTTCGTGGCCGAAGGCCCCAGTGACCGGAATCGCCCGTGACCGGAATGCCCCAGTGACGGAGCTCCACCGAAGGCCCCAGTGACCGGAGTCGCATGCGTGATGCGCCCGTGTCGGCACACCCCTCATATGTGGCCCCACAGACAGCTCCACCTAAGGCCCTGTTGGCAGGAATCGTATGCGTGACCGTGCCCATTTCGACACACGCCTCGCACGGTTCGTGGCCCCTAGGGAGTTCCGCCGAAGGCCCCAGTGGCTGGAAACGCATTCGTGACCGCGCCTATTTCGGCACACCTCTCTCACACGTTTCGCGGCCCCTCTGGGGAGCTCCACCGAATGCCCCGTCGGCAGGAGTCGCATGCGTGACCGCGCTCATGTTGGCACACCCCTCTCACGTTTCGTGGACCCTAAGAGCTCCACCAACGGCCCCGTCGCCTGCTGCTCCCCAGACCGCGCCCTGCTGCGCTCCAGAGCGGGGTCGGCAGACGCTCAGATCAGCCGTGACGGGTTATATCCAGACGTAACCCGTTTCGGCTAACCTTTGCGACACCATCAGAAACCTCGCTTCGTCCTTCTGTCGCGCGCCTTGGTCCTTTTGCTCGCCCCCTCCCTTGGTTTCCACCTGTCTTGCGGTACTTTCAGCTGCATGTGATTGGGTTCTTCGCCAGGCTGATTGTTTTGAGAAGTAAGTGTTTTGCCCGAAAAGGGGGCTGATGCTCAACCCCGACGCTTCTGTAACCGGGTGAGACACGCCCCAGAGTTTTGCTGAGGGGGAGCGATAGGGGCGACTGGCATCGGGGCGGAAACGTCGAGCTGGAATCGGCGATACATCGCCGATGGCCAATCTCCCGGCTCCTGGGCGGGATGGGGCCATCGGACCCCCCATCGGCGATCCATGGGCGATTAGGGGGTCGATGCATCCCCCCCTGATGCACATCCCCCCCCTGTCGTTGCCCCTGAGCTGCGAGCGCACGAGAGGGAACAAGAGATCGGCTGGCCACCGAGGCCATCATGCACGGCGGCCTCGGGGTCACCTCGGAGGCGACCTGCGCCCTCGCGCGCGGGCCCCTTGGGCGTGCGGAGCGATGGGCCCGAGACTGCAGCGGGAGCAGTCGTGGAGGTCGTCGTCGTCGTAGAAATCAGTGCGTCGTTACAGAGGCAGTCGTAGTGGGAGGAGGGGGCGGAGGTGCAGGAGGAGGAGGAGGACGAAGAGGAGGACGAGGAGGAGGAGAAGGAGAAGGAGAAGGGGAAGGAGGAAGAGGAGGAGGAGGAGGAGGAGGAAGTCCAGTGTAAACCCAAGAGTTATCAACGATGTTGGAATTCACCCTCCCTCCAAGCTCCCTCCCTACAACGGTTCATGTCCATTCAGGGAACTGCCTCGTTGGAAGACAACCGTTTGAAGATCCTGAAGCATGCCAAAACATTGTTCTCTGGATTTCAACGCCACGGATCAACCTGATTGCTTCGTCTTGACGATTTGGAATCGTGCCAGGAGGCCATTTTGGGGACTTCAACATCGCGACTCAACATAACTGTTGTGCCGCGTAATCCTGAATCCTTCCCAAAACACCATACCTGGTACGTTGATCATGGGAAACAGTGGAACTCGTGTAAATGTTGCGCGGCGCTAAGGCGAGAGCCACATGTTGAAAAGGAACCGCCCTCAACACGTGAAACTCTTGCAAACGTTGCAAACGAATATGCGCGGCGCTAGGGCGAGAACCACATTTTGTAAATGACCCGCCCTCAACCTGTGAAATTCTTGCAAATGCTTAAAATCGAATGTGAGGAGGAGGAGGAGGAGGAGGAGGAGGAGGAGGAGGAGGAGGAGGAGGAGGAGGAGGAGGAGGAGGAGAAGGAGGAGGAGGAGGAGGAGGAGGAGGAGGAGGCGGACGGAGGACGCTCATCAACAGGAGTGGGGGAGGCGAATGGCAGGGGGGAGCGGGGCTGGAGACCCATTGTGGGGAAGGACACCGACCATGTGCATGGGAGCCCTGCGCGTTTTTTCGAGCCGCTGGCCGCTGGAACTCCCCTATCCTGTTGCCGTGGCCGGTCTTTCGCCCTGGATCGTTGTTTGATATTTCTGGGGCGTGGAGGCAGCCCCATGGAGGCGGACAAATCGACCAAAACTTCGGGCAGGCCAAGATGTCGACGGTAGGGGCAGGAGGAGGAGGAGGAGGAGGAGTAGGAGGAGGAGGCAGACGGAGGACGCTCATCAACAGGAGTGGGGGAGGCGAACGGCAGGGGGGAGCGGGGCTGGAGACCCAGGCGGTGATTGGGGCGACGGCAGCTAGGGCGCGATGGGTTCAGATCCCAACCGGACGCGTGTGATCCCAACCGGACGGTTCAGATCCCAACCGTCTAAAACACCAGGCACGGTCAGATCCCAACCGAGGAGGAAGCGAATGAAGAAAACATATTGAAATATTACCATACTTGTTCATTGCTATCTGAAATTGCGATGCACACCTTACAGGAGCAGATTTACGTCTAAGTTATTGCGGTTACGATCTGGCGCGTCTTTTGCTGGATCGTAGTAGTGGTAGAAGTAGTAGTGGTAGTAGTAGTAGTAGTAGTAGTAGTAGTAGTAGTAGTCGTAGTAGTAGTAGTAGTAGTAGTAGTAGTAGTAGTAGTAGTAGTAGTAATAGTAGTAATAGTCGTCGTAGTCGTAGTACTAGTAGTAGTAGAAGTAGGCGTAGTAGTAGTAGTAGCAGCAATAGTAGTAGTAGTAGTAGTAGTAGTAGTAGTAGTAGTAGTAGTAGTAGTAGTAGTAGTAGTAGTATTAGGAGTAGTAGTAGTAATAGTACTAGTACTAGTAGTAGTAGTAGTAGTAGTAGTAGTAGTAGTAGTCGTCGTAGTAGTAGTAGTAGTAGTAGTAGTAGTAGTAGTAGTAGTGGTAGTAGTAGTAGTAGTAGTAGTAGTGGGTAGTAGTAGTAGTAGTAGTAGTAGTAGTAGTAGTAGTAGTAGTAGTAGTAGTAGTAGTAGTAGTAGTAGTCGTAGTAGTAGTAGTAGTAGTAGTAGTAGTAGTAGTAGTAGTAGTAGTAGTAGTAGTCGTAGTAGTAGTAATAGTAGTAGTAGTAGTAGTAGTAGTAGTAGTAGTAGTAGTAGTAGTAGTAGTAGTAGTAGTAGTAGTAGTAGTAGTAGTAGTAGTAGTAGTAGTAGTAGTAGTAGTAGTAGTAGTAGTAGTAGTAGTAGTAGTAGTAGTAGTAGTAGTAGTAGTAGTAGTAGTCGTAGTAATAGTAATAGTAGTAGTAGTGAAAGTCTTACCATTATTCCCAACCCTCCTTGGTTGGGTATTCGTTTTGAATAGAGCAGTGTGGTCGCGTCCCTCCTCCCTCCCTTCCTCCCTCCCTGCCTCTTCCTGTCTTGCCTGCGGGGGGCTGCGATCTGTGAAACTGTCGCCATTTTCGAGGCCTGCTGGGGGGCCCAGCAGGGCCACGGGCAGATTCAAATTAGACCTCGCCATCCCTGGGGGGGCTGCGCTCTGTGAAACTGTCGCCATCTT